ATAAAAATCGCCGCCTGGAGGCGAGCCGGCGGTAGAATCGGCTCTGGGGGCGGTTAGGCATCCAGCCGTTGCCCCAAGGTCGCCCCTAGGCGCCGATATCGACCCATTCCTGACCGCTTTTCGGCCCAATTTTGGCGAAAAATGGCCCGATATCGACACGAATCGGCCCATATTCGGCGTGGTTTTTGTGTCACATATTCATCACAGCAAATCAATAAAAATCAAAATAGTTCAACAAATAGTACAACAGCAAATAGTTCAATACAAATTATATAGTTCAAGAAATAAAAACTCATATTTCATCACACGTCGAGCTAGGTGTCGCCCTTGTTCCTCCATAGGCGCTCCACCAGATTCTGTTGCAGTTGTTGATGCACCTGTGGATCTCGGATCTCCTGACGCATATTGAGGTAGGCAGTCCAGGTTGCTGGTAGCTGGTGATCAACTTCGGCTAGAGGACCCTGCCTGTAGTATGGTTTACTGTCAAACACTGGCTCTTCATGCTCGCTCTCGATGATCATGTTGTGCAAGATGACACAACAAGTTATGATCTCCCACATTTGAACTTTCGATCAGGTCTGAGCAGGGTACCGGACAACAGCAAATCGACATTGGAGCACACCAAATGCCCGCTTGACATCCTTCATGCAATCCTCCTGCACCTTGGCAAAGTGGGACTTCTTGCCTCCTGGCACAACGTTTGAGATAGTCTTCACAAATGTAGACCATCTCGGATATATGCCATCAGCTTGGTAGTACCCCTTGTTGTAGTGCCGCCCATTGACCTCGAAGTTCATCGGAGGAGAATGACCTTCAACAAGCTTAGCAAAGACAGGGGAGCACTGTAGCACATTGATGTCATTGTTAGTTCCTAGCATACCAAAGAAGGAGTGCCAAATCCAGAGGTCATGTGCGGCCACCGCCTCAAGTACCATACTGCAACCGTTTTTGGCGCCTTTGTACATCCCCTGCTAAGCAAATGGGCAGTTCTTCAATTTCCAATGCATGCAGTCGATGCTTCCAAGCATCCCAGGAAATCCTCTTGCTGCATTCTGTGCTAGGATCCGAGCAGTGTCTTCCGCATTGGGTGTTCACAAGTATTGCGCTCCAAACACTGCCACCACTGCCCTGCAGAACTTGTAGAAACACTCAATGGTGGTGGGCTCGGCCATACACCCATAGTCATCGAGTGAATCACCGGGAGCTCCATATGCAAGCATCCTCATTGTTGTCGTGCACTTTTGAATTGAGGTGAATCCAAGTTTGCCGGTGCAATCCTTCTTGCACTTGAAGTAGCTATCGAACTCCCGGATGGAATTCACAATCCTGAGGAAAAGCTTTCGGCTCATCTGATAACGGCGCCGAAATACTTTGTCGCCGTGCAGTGGAGCGTCGGCGAAGTAGTCGGAGTAGAGCATGCCGTAGCCTTCGAGACGATGCCGGTTCTTTGCTTTCATCCGCCCCGGCGCCGAGCCACCTCGCCGTGGCTTTTCATTGCTCGCCAGCAGGCCGGCAAGGGCGGCGAGGACCATGAGATGTTCCTCTTCCTGAATGTCGGCATCGGCTTCCTCCTCCAGCAGCGCGGCGAGCGCCTCCTCGTTGTCCGAGTCCATTGCCGAGGCAGGCAAATCGCCGAACACCTTGCGGGCGCGGTGGGCGCACACTCGCCGGTACACAGCCCCTTCGTGTCCGGAACGCCGAAAAAATCGCCCAGACGATGGTGGAGAGGCTGCCTCGGTGAAACCTCTACACTTTTTTCCGGCGGGGAATAGCCGGTCTAGCGGTGGTAGGCGGTGGGTGGCGCCGGGATCAGCCGCTAGTGGTTGGGTGGCGGCCGAGCGCGGGGGATGGGAGGCGAATCTGGACGATAGGCTTGACTTTTCGCCTGACGGTGTGGGCCAGGCGTCCTTTTCCCTTGCGCCGGAGCCCCCGAGCGCCCCCCAATGCACCGGGTTCGGCTTGCGATCTCCGGACCAAAAAACGGGCCGAGCTCGCGGATTTCGGTGTCCTGGGGCGCGACTGGGGCGTTATTTCGGCGCCGATGTGGAAAAAGTCGCCTGAAGGGGCCTGTTGGGGGCGCGGCTGGAGATGCTCTTAAGATATCAAGTGTGGGCCACTATAATAAGCTCCAATCAAAGTTTAAAAAGTGAACTATGCCATTTAGCGGCAGCTTGGTCAGACATAATGAAGAGCTACTTCCTCCGTCCCAAAATTCTTGTCAAGTCTAAAACAAGAATTTTAGGACGAAGGGAGTATAATAGAGCTTGAAAAAAGCTAAACCATATTTAGCATTTTTGAGTAAATCATGGAAAGACAACAACCAGGTGACAATATCTTTTTTTTTTGAGGGTATGCAAATTGCGTACCTTAGCTTTATAGAAGAAGAGAAATGAGACATACAACAACGTCAAACAACGAAGGCGACCCACTCCACACCCGGCTCATTTTACTCGTGTCGCTCCAAACTTACATGATATTTTGTACCAATATAGCCTCTAGCATTTTACCATTTCGATTGAATAACACTAATTTATTTTTATATAATGTGCATCCGATAGAATAACTTAATGACATGAATATATGTCGCACAAAAAATTAAACAACACTTGAAAATATTTTCATGAAAATCTAATGACAATAATTATTTATTCTTAGAATCAGTCCAAAGTTAGATGTCTGATTGTACGCTTTCCTGAACACCACTTATTCTGTAATAGAGATACTATTTTTTTCCTAGTTTCACTGGATACATTTTTCAAATTTTTGGTTATGTATTTAGTGCTGTCTATTCAAAAGATATATGTTTTTATTTTGATGTATGTTACTTTTTTTTGGGTAGAAATGTACTATCCATATCTTTTACATTTGACACTACTAATAAAAAAGACAAACATTTTTTTCACCGATTGTTTATTGTCTCAGTAGTAATATTTTTATTAAATTGAAAAAAAATTAAGAAAGGAAATGACAACATATTAGCTTTCATGGGAGTGGATGGTGTAAACCCATTTAATTTACTTTTTCACATGCTACATTTTTATCCAATGAAATAATTTCTATATGTACAATCTGAATTTTTTTCAGAAATAAAATAGTTTTCATCGACTTTGAAATATATCCCAAGGAAAAATATTACATGCGTAACATTTTTGTCTCTGACAAATCTAGAAACAGTAAAAAACATTGTTTTTACATGCATGAATAATTGTTATAATTTTATTTTCATTATATTACAATATTTAAATATTATAAACATACAAAAATTTAAAAATTATGTTTTCCAAATGCTATTGCAATGTGATTTGTCCACCTTTTCCCATACGCTTGCAATATAAGCGGCAGGCTCAGGGCTCCACTATGATGCCAGTATAATATCAGCCACCACAAATCTATCACCGTGCACGAAGCAAGCGCAAAATACAGCGACTTTGAGCAACACAAACGACAGGTCGAAACTCGCGAGCGCGAAAAACTTCCAATTCGCACAATAGATGTCTTCAACGCAATTCAAAAAAAAAAGATGTCTTCAACGTTTGGTCGAGGTGGCCTGAGGACCGCAAGAACAGCTAGCATCTGCGATCATCATAACATTAACCAGGCATCACCATGCATCGTCTGCACATCCTTTTGCTTGTGAATGTGACGAAAATCTGCCCGGTATATTCATGAACGCAATTTGCAAAAAAAGAAGAAAGAAGTATATTCATGAACGCACAAGCATCACGTATCAGATCAAGAGTACTTCTACCTAGCTAGATTTTTGTCTTGTCTATGCAGAGGGCAGAGATGTGGGGCGTGGTAAGACTTTCAACCACACACAGACACAGTACAGCCACGCACATCCCACCTATTCCTCCCTTAATTAAACGAGTGCAGCCACCGAAACGGAGCTCCAGCGCGAGCGACCTCGACGCCAGGATGGGGTTGCATGCTGTGCTACCCCGCAACACCTGGATGGAACCGCCGCATGCTACAGCGATAGTTGGCATCCGCATGGGCTTTGCTCGGCTGATCGTCCGTACAGACTTCATCTGGCCGCGCTGCCCTCCACGCCCCAGTCCAAGCCGTCATGGCACCAGCAAGGAATCGCCGTAAGCCTGCAGCACGTCGTTGGCACCCGCATGAGTTCCGCTCGGCCAGCCACCTCCGGCCGTCAGTACAGACTTCACTCGGCCGCGCTTCCATTGATCCATTCACACCCAGCACAATTAGGAACACTTGCGGCTGTCCCGTGGTGGAGCCCCTCAGCCATCCTGCCTTTGGTCCGGCATGGAGCATGGTGAGTCGGTCGACGCGGCGTGCGATGGGAGAGGAAGAAGAGAGCTCTTTGCAGTAAGGATATCTCATTTCACTTATGTTGTCTCAA